CATCGTTGCTCACACGCTTGCTCCATGATATCCTCAGTGTCCTTCTGCAGAACCACATCTCCGTCGCCTCAAGTCTCTTCTTCATCTTTGAGGAGCCCGTAAAGGGGGACAGATGACACGTTACAGATCGATAAAGTATCTGTCTATATTTCTGAGATGAGGTATTATGTACATTATTTACATTATTCGGATAACTGTCTTCATCTTTGTCGCCATATTGATTACAACGTTTCGGCCGTTGTACGCTCCGGCCTTCTTCAGTTGGTTGGAATGTCGAACTGAACCCTTTATTTCGCTCACTGGGGTAGACTGTTCTAGTTTCAGGTGCCATGTTTAATGGATGTCAGTTATCAGTTATCTCCTGTTAATTTCCCTCTGAAAGTTCTCCACTGCCTTAACCGGGTATTGAACTCACACTCTTTGGATCCTGTCACTGGATCTAACCAACGCCTTTATCCACTGTGCCATGTGTCCTTGAGGACTCAGTAAAGGCTTACAAATGAGAACCGAGCAGTTCCAGACCAAATATGGCAGCAATAGTGCATTTTTCGGTCTAATCTGACTCTTGTAAAGATAAATGGAGAAATTATTAGGTACTTTTTGGAGCGAAAAATATATCATTAGTAACAGGTTGTATATATAAGTTCCCCTTTGAGTCTGGAGTGAACCTGACATTCTGATCCTATAATTGTACTTGTCCTTTCATTATTTTAATTCATATTCGGATCTCGGTGCCCCATTTTCTTTTCTCTGCGTTTCCCAGATATTGGAACTTCTGAGCCTGCCTGCTGTTTATATCTCCAATTCGCAACTCGCCTCTCGGGTCTTGGTTCTAGTTGAGGACCATAATTTCTGTTTTCTTGCAGTTGATGGTTAGTACTTTTTTTCTTGCTTTCTTCGACCATCCTGTCTAGGAAGTCCTGAATTTTCCTTTTTTAATTGGCCATCAAGACACTGCATCTGTATTCCTCTTTCCCTGATATCATTCTGAACATGAATATCACTGTTCTTTTATTGGTACCCTTGACAAAGTTGCACTGTTCTTGTTCTATTTCCGGTCTAATTCTGTTTCGCCATCTTTTCATCAGGATTCGCATCATTAATTTGGTTATGTGGCTCATTAAACTGATTGTCTCATGGAATTCATTAACATTCATGTGCACTTAGTTTCTTAAATAAATGGAAGATGGATATAGTGAGATCCTCAGGTGTGTGGTCATTGTTGTATATTTCATTTATTACTCCTCTTATCTTGTTGATACCAAAGTCGTCTAAGGCTGAGCGAATTTCTGATACGATCCTGCCGGGTCCTCCTGTTTGTTTCTGTTTATTTTTACATTGCTATCTTTCTTCACTTTTAGTATTTCAGACCCTTCTGTATTTTCCAGGGTAGGTTTCTCTCTGATATGGGGAAACGTTCTTTGTCCGATTCGCTCTATCATTGGCGTATTTGTTAAATAATAGTTTAGTGGACTATTATTTTTAAAGAAATGTACTTCTGCTCTGGCCTCCTCAAATTGACCTTAGGGTCAGATATAAGACAAAATAAAGGAAGTCGATTTTGATTGTCTGGACAAGCGTGGGGATGATAGATAAGGAAAGGTTTCTTTCTAAACTGTCAAACAATGTAGATTTGTTCTTTCGTTTCTGGATTTGTTCCCCAGTGGTGTGAGAGAGCGACCCCACTGGATATTTAGAAATGTACACGTCTGCGTTAATGAAATAGTTAAAGTAAAATTCCTTTTGTTGTCTTTCATCCCCGGGCCCAATAATATTTCGCTACCTAGTCGGAAGTGGGCAAAGAGAAGAAGGAGAGAAGATGCAGCATAGATTTAATTTGGCTCAGTGACAAGGACCTCCCAACATGGTGGGGGTCATGATGAGGGATACAGCACAACGAGGAAAAGTTCGGAGAGAATTTTCGGTCTCAGTCATCATGAAATAAAGACAGAAAAAAAGAAAAACATTTTGTGGGATGCCAAGTCGCTGTAGATGATTAAGGGAAGGAAACATTTTTAACCACGGTAGAGCCAGTAATGGATTAGTTAGGAGCTGCTGAGAGTGTGTGGTTGTTTACCCTTTTGGGGCAGCCAGGGAGAGAATGATTTGAGATAGTGTCAGTTGTATTTTGGCACACAGTGGCAGATGGTTAATAATAGTGATTTTAGAAAATTAATGGTGGTAAATTTGTGAAGATTTGTTCAAGTAAATCTGATAATACGCAAATAACTGAAGTAATTAATTGGCTGTGGTTAAATAAATAGGGTGATAATTGATCGTACGTGCTGTGTCACTGTGAGTAGGAAATAAGTGTGGATAATAATATATTTAAAGAGTAAAATTTAGGTGGCAAGTATGTGGCTCAGTTATGGAATTGGTTGAAGCTGACGTATGGGTCTTTAAGCATATATTGTGCAATTTTCAAACCAGTATTTTTTTCCTGTGAATTATATGTACATTTCGTGTAGTCTCTAGTGAAGCGGCAAGAAATTTTATTCTTCCAGAATGCTGGATTGCAGACCTGCGTTGAGATGACACTGGAGAGGTAAAAATTAATTGTTGGAGTTATTTGTATACACACTGTTATCTGAAGTGTTGACCTTGGGTCAGAGACGTTACTGACCAAGAATGGACAAAGGATTGCCTGGTATTCTGTTTTTTGTTTTGAAAAAATGTTTTTGAAGCGTGAAAAAACTGGTCAGAAGTTTGTTGTTTATGTTCACTCTTTATCAGGAATATTATATGGGCATGGGAGTCATGTAACTGAGGTCCAATAAAGAAAAATGTAAGTAGCACGCTTTGCAGAGACGAAACTGTATAGGGGATTTTAGAGTAATATAGTTGATATGAAATTCATAAATGAACTTTTTCAATGATTAGGTAAGGAATGTTGAATAATAGTATAGCAGACTATTATTTTTATTAGAAAAGTGTATTTCTCCTGTGGCTTCCTTAGTTTGACCTTAGGGGTCAGATACAAGACAAAATAAAGGAAGTCGATTTTGATTGCCTGAAATGGCGTGGGAAAAATAGATAGTGAAAGGTTTTCCGTGGAGTTGGTTCTTACACGTAGGACAATGTAGACGTGCCCCTTTCGTTTCTGGAAACTGCTCTGTATTGGAGGGGAAAAGCAACCCTACTGACAAGTTAGAAATGGACACGTCGACATGTTTAATATAACAGTTAAGTTGAAACTCCCTTTGTTGATGTCTTTCATCACCGGACCTCAAAATCATTTCGCTATCTCGCCGGAAAATGACAAAGAGAAGATAGAGAGAGAGAGAGATAGAGAGAGAGAGAGAGAGAAGATGCAACACATTTTTTCTTCCTTTTTTATTATTAATAATACTTCCTTTGATTTTTAGAGACGGTTCGTTGGCTCACCTTTTCCCCTGTTAATTACTATATTGTGTATACTTGCTCTATATGCATTAAAAATTCTCTATATATGCCAATTTCATTTATCCATACGTCTTTAACTTACCTACATTTGTTTCTTTTTGCTGTTTTTTTTAATCTGTAATATTTAGGGTTCGTTATTATTTTCAATTCGTTGTCATTGTTTCTTGTCTCTTTTTCATCATCTCTAGAATTTCCTCTCATCCATTTGTTCCTTCCTTGAGGAAGATCTAGTTCCTTTGGGATGATCTCGTTCGTCGACTTTAATTCTCGTTCTCGTTGTTTTCTTTTCAAACACTTGTGGATTAAAAATTACCCTGTGGCTAGATCGTTAACCACGGGGGAAAAACAAAACAATTTCTAGCTGTAAACCGGATTATATCCTTGGGTTGAAAGCTACTGCTATAAGCGAGTGAAAGTGAGATGAAGCAGACGTTAGTGGGGAAGTGAACTGTCTAAATGGTGTCTTTCCTGCCCATCGTGCTCTGAGACACACTTCGTCTCTTTGTATGTCTTTTCGCGGGTACTGGACAGTTTTATATGTAACATGGTCCTTTGTCACGTAATGTATCGATTGGAAGACCGATCTCACTGATGTGTAAAACTGTTGTGGCTTCCTCCCTCTAATGAGACTATTGTGGACTCTTCCACTTAATATAAAGTTAGTCGGAAATGTAAGCCTCGGAAGAACAGTGCCAGACTATTCATTACTGTAGAACTCTCTGCCTTGAGCAAAGAGGAATCCTGACTTGGCTTTGCCGAAGGGCAAAGTTTCGTCCGGGCAGATAGACAGACCCTGAACCCGTTTAGACGGGTTCTAAGGGAATATTTTTAGCCGAGCCTACGAGATCGGAGAACACACAGTAAACTCGGCCTTGTGCCACATACATGCACTAAGAAATCGCTCAAGTATCTTTTTCAAGAGTGCCAGATTGTTTAGGGATAACAGCGGTGGCAGATGGGATGTTAACATGATGGCTGATTTCTGTTAATGCATCAAAAGAAATCAACCTTTTCAAAAGCATCGTAGAATTTCCAAGAAGAGAAGATTTATAACTTTGGATGGACAAAAAGGAATGTATTTTTTTTATTTCTTTGTATTTTCCTTGTCTATTTTGATTCAAAAATTGATGACATAGGTTACCTTAATTTAATTTTGTGTGAGATTTTTGTGAAAACCTTTCCTGAAGTGAAAATTCTCAAAATGCATTCTTTAAGTTATTGGATTACTTTTCCTTTTATGATAAATTACTCTAACCTGAAAACATTTAAGGTTGGTTCTACTTGGCCATGGCCTATCACTGTTAAAGGGGTATGTTGGCCTCTTTTTTGGAAAAATGGAAATTATCTGTACTGAGAAAACGTTATGTAATAGGGAAAAATGTACTTGGTTTTCAAATTCAGCGTGAACAATGGCCCAGAAACATGTATCCATTGCCCAAAAATATTTGGGTTGAAAAAAAAATGTCGACCGGTGTATTTAAGGCCTGAATTCTTTTAGACTAATATCATAATACTTACGGCTACATCATGTTGAAACCATGTTTCCCGTACGGAAAACATTACGTTAAACATTACACTGCCTCGAGCTGCCCAAATGAATTTCTCAGCGGTTCCCCATCTAAATACTCACCTGGCTCTACGATACTTAGCTTCGGCAATCGAAGGAGAAGCGGTGTTTTCATCTTGATTTGACCGTAAGTTAGTGATTTTCCAAGCGTAGCTCAGATGTGGCACAAGGCCGAAAGTATAGGGCATCCAGTGAGGATCGAACTCACTACTCAGTCGTTATTCTTCTCGCGAGACAAGCTTGCTAACCATTACACTGCCTCGAGCTGCCCAAATGATTGTCTAAGCGGAGCTTAGATGTAGTAAAAAGCTGAATGTATGGAGCACCCAGTGTGGATCAAACTCACTACTCATTCGTATTTGCTCTAGCGAGACAATCTTGCTAACTATTATCCCGCTTCAAGGTTCCCCACCTACGCTTATTAAATATAGACACCTGAACTAGAACAATCTATACCCGTGAATAAAATCGTTCAGTTCAAATGGTTACCCTAAGCGACAGAGAACCGAATAAAGCCTGATGAACAACAACAGATGAGGATATTACTCCGAATTTAAATGATGTAAATATTTTGCAAATAATAATGAAAAATCTGTGCGGAGTCGAGATCGGCGAGGTTCTGAAGATTATTGATTTGAACTTTTGAATATTTCCTTTCGTGTCTATCACTTTTCAATGACACTGTTTATTTATGAATATTCATGAGATCAACAATCGAGAAGTAATGTTTATTCAACTGTTTGGTTTTGAAGAAGCTACTTTAGAGTTATCTCGTCCTGCCAAGTAAAATCTCTCAGGAGACGAGAAAAGAATCAGGAAAGATACAAGAAATATTTTAAATGGAACCGAAGCGGCTTTCTGAATTTTGTGCACCAAAATTAAAATGTACTTTAGCGAATCGATACTTCAAGAAACCAATAACTTTCTGTACGCTTTTCAGAAAGACGATCGATTGCTTTACAAACACATAATGTTTCATAACGTATGAAACTCGATGCGTTTACGAGGGAGAAAAACAGAATGAAACGAAGCTATTGTAGCTTTTTAAGAAATAAATAATTTATGAGATACCTTATTAAATAAATTAAGAAATAAATATATTCATAGCTTTGGGCATCGAGTGAGGATCGAATTCGAAACGTAATTGTCATTTTCGAAACTTGGAAACAAACAGAACACTTGTACTGAAAATTAGCAAAATACATTTGAAATTTCTGGGACAGATAATGAGGAAAGACGACTTGGAGAATTTGATACTCACAGGAGAATTTGATACCGGAAGTCAAGTGGAACAGAAAGAAACAAAAATATCTTACCTAACGAGTTTATGCAAACAAACAACAGAATGGGGACTGAGAGTGAGAGTAAGGAGAGAAATATTACTTAGAGATACAAAGCTGTGGAGAGCTATAATCGCGTGTTTCATGAATTGACACAGCATATAAAAGAATAATCTGGCAGAGATCACACCAATGGTCACCCAATGAGGATGGAAATCACGACAATGTCAGATGAAATTAACTTACTAAATATTGCTCCACAATGTATCAAATGGAGATGAATTACAGATAAAAGGCCACTATAATAGTCCAAATAGAATTTCTTACCTGAGTGGATCGATATGAAACTTTCACTAGCTTACCAATCGGCTACAGTAGGGTCTCTTCATGTCTTCTAATAGAAATCTGACTCAAGGTCAAAAGTGAAGGTGTCTAATGAGATAACACTACATACTTGTGTGGTGTAATCGATATCGGCTTAGAATGAGAACTCGGACAACAGAGTTCGAATTCCAGTCGAGTTCGTTACGTGCGCATATATACCATTGAGAAAGGTATGAATTCATCTCTACTCCTCCCCTAATAGCTAGACGGACTGGCTGGCAACCATTCTACTGCAGAAAGAGCCTCCAATCTACTGCGAGTACATCTTCTGCCTAGTCACGTACGAATCGGAAGGGACATGATCGTCTAAGCGTATGGGACGTAACTGACCGGGAATTGGTGTCGGGGTACTAATTTTCTGACCACAGCATGATTCTCAGAATATACAATACCATTACCTGCGAATTTCGATTTTTTTAGTTTGCAATTCTTTTCTGAAAAGTAATTACTTAATTTTCTATATGATAATTTCCATCTGCAAGATGGAGCAAAGTACATTTTAAATCAATTAAAGAGAGATTATGCACGCCCCGTTAACCATTATATAGAAAACAATTCTTCAAGCCTTTACACCAACCGAGCAAGAATTTCTCTGATCAAAAAGAAGGTACCAAGGATGCTGAAGAATGTAATGGTTTTACATACTGAAGAAAGTATCAATTATTTTATTAGTTGTTTAAATACCATAATTATTAGAAAAACGGTTCGTGACGCACTGCCAAAATAAAATAGGGATATTTGGGTAATAATTTTTCTATTAATTTTATTCAATTCGTTTTGGCTGGAGTCTTTGATGATATCAAGTGTTTTCTTTTTGCACACTTATAAATAATAAACAAGGTTTTTCTACAAAATGAATTTGTATGCTTCTTTGTTTTAGCTTTGTTTGTTTACCGGAATATCAAGTTTTTATGGGACGTTTAATGCCGATATTAATTTCTCTTGGGAGATCTGAAGTAATAAATTTATAATACGTGCGGTGAACAATTAAGTAGGAATCAGAGTGGCTTGCATCTGGTGCAAAGAAAACTAACTTCCCTACCACAATAGACGACAGGTAGCAGCAGCATTTTGTTCGTTGAAAATGGCATGAATCTCCCCTCCTGACGTTTGCTTATTCCAAAAGTATATATTCTGTAACGTTGGCTTTTGTATATCTTCGCGTGGCTCAAGTTGCGGTGTTGGTATGATAAAAGAGGGCTGAAGCAATGAGAAGGAAAGATTTTTTTTTTGTTGACGTGTATGGGAACTCAAGAACGGCGGATTGAAAAAGAGTTATTTAGTATTGTACGAAAGACGTCAGAGGAATACAAGCCCATTTACGCTACAATAAGTTCTTCTGCTTACCCAATTGAGAACATATTAGACGATACCCAACTTTTGTGCATATACATGTTTCAGTGGACATTAAAGTCTGTGATCTGTGTGTTTTTATATTGTAGTTTTGTTGAAATTATATTTTGGAATACAGTTTGATTTCTTTAAGAAATTGTAAGATATTTTACGAATCAATGTCATGAAAGAGTACTTTCACGTTGGTAGTTTGTTTGATTTTGTTTAGCGGCATATCAACACCTTTAGACGTTATTTAATGCCGACATCTAAATATGTTGAACGTAATTGCATGCTTTCAACTACAAATAAAATGTATTGCTGGTCATTTTCTTATAAATACTTTTTTTTTACTTTCATATTGTTTTGATTTTCTTTGGGGATACACTATTTGCCCATAGCTGGGACCCTTAAAAATGCTACCAGACCGGTTTAGGGTGAACCTTGGAACAAAAGGCATTTAAGAGGTTGATCCACGCTCCTCAAAACCTCCAATCTCCCGATCTGAGACCTTGGTGCGGGGTTCAGTTTATTGTCATAATATGGACTATGTAAATTTGGAAAATCTGACATACAGAATAATAAGCTGGATATTTAGCATGTTTCTGTAAGAAAATAATCATATCTGAGAATTCTTAAATCAAATACATGGCAATAATATACGCCTAGTATTATATATATATATATATATATATATATATATATATATATATATATATATATATATAAAATATATATATATATATATATATATATATATATATATATATATATATATTAATGCATGTTCCATTAAATAATATAGACAGTTTGTGACACTATTTAGGGTTGCGTGAAAAAAAAAGAAAGAAAAGGCGAGAATTAAATTTAGGTGATAAGAAGCCATCACGAAAAGGACACTAAGCGTTGTTATATTTTTTCTAACAAAGACAAGTGCTAAAGGTTATATTCTCATTAGCGAGGAAAGTAAGGTCGCGGATGTGTCGGATTTAATTTAATTTATGACGACGCACCGAATAAGATATAGCCAATCTGCCCATGGCAATGGTAAAAATTTCAAGTTGGACAAGTGGCCTACAGGACAGAGTGCTAAGAGATAATATTAATTAGGTCATGCACTGGGTCGCGAAAGAAAATGTCCTCTGGACCTCCCGCAAAGTGCTGGGAGATAAAAATTAATTAGGTCAAGCCCTGACCGAAACCAAAATGTCCGTTGAACCACCTCCATATCATTTGGGAAAAACACCTGTTTTATGTCGAAGCTGGCCATGATAGCAAAATTATTTTATCAGAACGAATAATTGGCACCAAGGTGCGATATCACCAGATTGACCACCCACTTGTTTGGCAAAGGTGATGAATCCCAGGTGACATTCAGGATAAAATTGAGATTAAGAGACCACACTACGGGTCGTATTGGGTTGTTGTCGAGAAGAAGAAAAAGAAAAGAAGAAGAAAAAGGAAGATAATTTTTTTTTCTTTGAGCAAGAATTTTTAAACCGAATTATTCCGGCCACACCCACGCTATTGAGCGCCCATTGACTGAATGGTGGCGTGAGCGGAGAGGCGAAGGTAATCATGTAAAGAAGGAGGGGAGGCATGTTGACGCTCCCTGAAGGGATTGGGTGAGATACCCATATGAGAGAAAAGGAAGAAGAAAAGAACCCCTGGAAGGACTTCCAAAAATGGAAAATAATAAATTTTCCTGACGGAAAACAAAAAAGTGGATTGTGGATTTAGAATTATCAAGGAACCTCAAACCCCGACAAGCCCACCCCGGTTTTGGTCGGCGTCCATATAAGCAGAGTGGCAACGAGTGAAAAGCAGCAGTTTCGAAGTTCAGTTGCTGAGTTCGCAGTTGGGTTGGAGTTACAGAGTGAGACCTGCCTCCCAGGAACCTGACTGAAAGATTCCACGCAAATCACGACCTCAACTTCTAACCAAAAACAATTTATTTTTGAAGAACGACTTAGACTCACACCACCAAAACAAGTTTTACTAATATCGCTTGAAGATACACCAAGAACCAGTTTCTTAAAGAACAAACAACTTAAGATGTTAAGACTTGCTTAACAAACACAAAGTGTCATGAATCCATATAGGGGGTTGGGAAGAAGACGCTGTCCTGTATTCAG